CACTCTTTCTTGTGGCATAATGATTCATCTTTGCCCGGTAAACTTTCTTGTGCATTACATTTTTAATATTAAAATGAGTGGGAGAATGTTAGCACATTTTAATATTAATTGATAATTCATTCCACCAATGAGATTAATTAGTTGATTCATATGGATGCATTGTACATATGAATCATTGGGTACATATATCATACTTGTACATGAATATCACTAGATACATGTATTCATGATTCTTATACATAAACTATATTTATGATATGTTATATAATGTACATACATGAATATTTATCATTATGTATAATCTATAGAGTATACATAATTGTATAACCATATACATGTATAGAAATACTATTTATTGAATACATGTATTCATCATTTCTATAAATCATATATACATAAGCTTATGCATGTGCATTCATGAATTACTTGTATTAATGAGTTAATCATTATTACATATATGTATACATGTATGAGTTGGATACATAGATTCGAGAAGGTTCTAAGAATATATAAATAGGACCTCTAAAATGTACATTTAAATTTTTAAACACCATCCAACACATTACAAGAAGAGTGTTTTTACTCGTATAGTTTCCTATACGACTCAACAACTTGTACAAAGGTGGTTAGAGTTATATAAAGAAATTATCGAGTTGTTGTATTATAGAGGAGGCAAGTCAAATGAGAAGGCTTGTTTATCAGGTTTTGGGCTTTGCCACTCACAAAGAGCTTAAATCTCTTTAAAAAGAGCTTAAATCTCTTTAAAAAGAGCTAGATACCCGTACCTCAACTTGAATTGCTTCATCTATATTTTCACTTCTTTGTAATCTACTTCTCAATTTTATCAATAGTTATAAATAACCCTCAAAATTTATTTTTTTAAAAAATCACAAAACTTGTTTACGACGGTACATAGCCATTTTTTTTTGGGTACCTTGGTGTTCTCTCCATCCACCAAATGCCCGTCGAACCTTTTGGCAGTTACATTTAATCACAGATTGTAGAATATCTTGTTGTACTGTATCTTCGTCTGTTAAATTATATATGAATTCTCGAAGCATGGCCTTTTTTGTCCCTTCCTAATTGTAGGACTGTGAAACAAGATAAGCAAGTCCGCTCAAACAAGCAGCAACTACTACTATGAGTAATAGCTCTATTGTTCTAGCCCATTCGGTCGGTTATTGTACCCCAGTCTCACTCCAACAGCATACTATCCTAGACCTTTGCCTATCCCGACATTGATAGAAATTCATAGTTAGGTTAGCCAACTCGATAACCCCAACAAGTAGGAGTAGCAATAACACAGGACTGTCAATCAATAAGATCAGTAACAAGAAAGACGGATTTTCTCCCTTCTCGTCAGAACACGTGCCCGCCCAAACAGTGTAATTGCACTTCTTTGTCACCCCCTATCACGATAAGGCGGACAGGGCACTTAGCCAACCTTTAAATTAAATAAAGTGAATAAGCTAGTCACCTCACCTCTCTTTCTTACCCGCCCCTATTAGTAATAGGCAACCTCTCTTTCTCACATTTCTTCCAGCTTTTGCTCTTGTCCCAATATGGTACCAAAATAAATAAATAAATATTAGCACTATACTGTAATTACAAAATTCGTGAGTTTTTTTTTTTTTTTTGACAACTTTTAAAGTTCATTTTGTAATTTTTGTAGTAACTTATGATTGATCTTAACATTTTTATGATCAATCGCAAGTTATCACAAAAGTTATAACTTGGCCAAAAAAAAGGAAAATTTTCATTTTGCCCCTAAAAGATTCAAAAATTTTCAATTTTTCCCATCCTCGAATGATTAATTTTTTCACATTGCTCCCTCAAATAATAAAAAATGTTGGAACATAGTCCACCATCTTATTTTCGTTTGGTCGTTCGTCTATTTTGTGATTCTTAATTGATTGATTCAACACAAAAAAACATACAGACAACTAAATAAAAATAAATATTAAATCATATTGAAACGTTTTTTATTCTTTAAGAGGATAATGTAAAAAAATTAATTATTTGGAGGACAAACTAAGAATTTTTATATTTTTTAGGCGGCAACATGGATTTACACCAAAAAAATTGTAAAACAACCTAACAAATCACAAAACTTGTATGTAAACCTACAAAAGTTATAAAGTTTAGAAGTATGATACCGAACTTTAATAGCTATAACCAAAATTGTAAATTATTTTTGTTGTAAACAACAAACCACAAAACTTATAAGAAAACCTACAAAAATTATTAAATTTAAAAGTATAGTACCAAAATTTCTTCTCCGGTAGCTTAGCCTTGTCCCACAATTAATATGCATCAATCTTCTCCAGCATTCCTGTGGATAATATCGACCACTTTGTCAATAGCCTGGGCCTATTTAATTGTACATATGAGCCTATGATCTTTACTACCCCTATCCATCGAACAAATATTGAATGTAATGAATACACTGTGTCTATAGTGCCACGTAATATAACTGTTCACTAACAAGTGAGTCAATAAACCCTATAAAATTCAACAGCCACTCATTCATTTATGTAATCTATATAATAAAGTAGAACGAATTTAAATTTTAGAGATAAAGAGTGGTTTAGATAATTCGTGATAAAAAAAAACATCATCTAACGGACGACGTTATCTCAAACTATCTCTAGCTATTGACGTCTCAGATCGTTTTGATTCAACATATTACATTAACTCTTTTGAAATATTTTTGTTCCTCAAAATTTATAGTTGCCAAATTTATATTCCAAAATTTAATTCCCTCAAATTTTTTCCTTATATCAAGCAAATCTATCAGTCTCTCACGCTCAATTCACGCAAAAAGTATCAATTTTTCATAATATTTCTCTCTGTATCTCACGAAAATATTAGATAGTGTCTAATTCAAGCAAATACTACATCTCTCTATAGATAGATAATATATATGACAGAGAAATAGTATATTATGAAAATATTCCTCTATATCTCTCTCTGAAGAAAAATTATGTAATAAATATTAGATAGATAATATATATCATGAAAATATTCTTTTGCATCTCTTTCTTTCATTTAAGCAATACTATAAACACGAATCATACAAATTCAATATTCAATTTTATTTTTTTCATAATCAATAAAAAAAAACATAACTTACAAAAAATTTAATTTAACAAAGAAAACATGTTTCACATATAAAATATAGAAGATTAAATTTATGTTTTTAGGCAACTCAGATATCACGAGATATATTAAAAAAAATATGCTTAACATTTAAAATATGCAAGATTAAATTCATATACAAATATGAATCATACAAATTCAATATTTAGTAAACAATACAAAACAACAATATTTACTAAATAATCCAAATCTCAATACCCGAGAAAAATGAAACAAAATTATAAGCGAGAAAAACGATACAAATTTATAAGCAATACTATGAACATAAATCATATAAATTCAATATTTAGTAAACAACACAAAACAATAATTTTAATAAATAATTCAATACTAAATAACGTTTAGTTTAAGAATATATACTAACAATATAAAAACCTAGAAGAATGATATAAAATTAAAAGCACTACTATAAACTCGAATCAGACAAATTCAATAGTCAATTTTGTTTTTTCCATAATCAATAAAAAAAAACATAACTTGCAAAAAAATTAATTTAACAAAGAAAATATGCTTAACATGTAAAATATACAAAATTAAATTCAAGTTATTGGGCAACTCAGATATCAAGAGATATATTAAAGAAAATATACTTAACATTTAAAATATACAAGATTAAATTCATATACAAACACGAATCATACAAATTCAATATTTACTAAATAATTCAAATCTAACTATCCAAGAAAAATGATATAAAATTACAAACAAAAGAAACAATACAAAATTATAAGCAATATTATGAATACGAATTATATAAATTCAATATTTAGTAAACAACACGAAGAAATAACTTTGTTAAATAATCTAATACTAAATAACGTTTAGTTTACAAAAATATACTAAGAATATAAATAATCGAGAAGAATGATATAAAATTAAAAACACTACTATAAACTCGAACCATATAAATTCAATAGTAAAATCGTATCTTTTGAAAGTTGGTTAAAATTTATGATAATTATATTTGGTCATTTGACAACATCTGCAGACTTAGTTTATTTGTGAAAATATTATTTTAATTTTCATTTTATTAATTATAAATTCTGTTATTATTTAAATAAAATTGATTATGAATGTTAAAATCGTGAATTCTGAATAAAAAACATAACATTGAATATAGTCAACTGATATATTTTTTCAGATGTTTGAATTATTATGTTTTAGTAGCTATAACATAATTTTCGTGGCGTAACAATTTAATGTGAAAATATATGCTATACATGCAGGTTGATGTTATAAAAAATATTAACGAACTCATTTTATTCATCGTTTACTATAATATTGTATTTTACTTTACATTTATGTACTGAACAAATATTTATAAGTAATTTATGGATAACACCGTGTCTTCATATATGGACAATTACTAGTATATTATATACTATACCATATGAGACTACTAGTGTTGCGTAACCGCTACATTGAATGTTTACTCCTATCGATAATGATTTCATTAGGCAGGCGTGGTGCCTAGGAGTCCATCACTTGTGCTAAGTTTCGTTATCTAAGTGAATTATGAATTTGGATATAAACATAAAAATTAAGTCTGCAAAATTGATTTATCTGTACCCAAAACGAGTTAAAGTATCACCGTAGCAATTTAGCAGTTCAAGTGTCATTGGCTTTCCAAGGCTTGGACAGTATAGCAATAGCAGAGAATGCTCTTTAACTTGCTCAATGGTCTTGCATTTTAAAAGATCATAGATAACGTTGACAAATAGTACATTAGAAGGACACCACAAAGAATGGTCGAACCTTACATATATTAAAGAAAAAGGCCACAAAAATTTTGGCTTAAAAAACTGAATAAGTTGTACTACAACACTGAGACAAAACTGGGAGAGAGAGAGAGAGAGAGAGAGTACAAACTTGTAACCTCAAGAGGAAGCAGCAAAAACAAACAGGTGAGCAGCTTCGTCCAGACCCCAAGTAAAGATCCTGGATCGCTCACTGATCACCCCTCAAGCAGAAATATTTATCTGGTGATGCATCTGATGATCCAATTATGGAACACATTTACAGCATTTTGAGATTATATAGCAGAGTGATGTGAGATAAGAGGGTCAAATGCTCTTGATCTGACCAAACAGTCACAATATGCAGCATATTTTAGTATTTCGTATAATTGGAGAAAATGTATATCAAGCTATCCAGAGTATCAGGAAAGAATTTTCTTCCAAATAAGTAGCAAGGCCGCTTCATTCCATTCCACATGCAAGGTTTAATAATCAATTTCTTCTGAAATAGGAATAAAAAAATAAATGTTACAGGTTTTCCGCCAATAAAAAATAATACAAGGGAAAACTCTATTGTTAGGCATTGATTGAACGTTATACCTCCTCATCACTTGTAACATGCAGGCTCTCGTCAATGGACTGCAGTAAAGAACCAGTGTGAGAGTCTACCTCATTATAATAATTGTACAAATAGAAAAAGGACAAGGGGTAGAATTGTATCATACTGTAATGTTCTTAAGAAGATCATAGGTCACATCTTGAGCCCTATATGATCTTGGATGCCACTTTCCTTCAGACCAATCCACATATGTTACTGACCAATTTGCAATTCCACCTGGATCCATCATCTGAAAAAATGATGGTGAAAAAGTTGGTAACTGGCATATGACAAAATTAAGATATGCAATCATAGCAAACAAGGCACAAAATTTTCTGTGCTGACATGGAAAAAGGTTGGCAAGTAATGTTCATCAGCATAGCAATTGCGGCCCTCCATACCTGGCTGCAAATGTCAAAATACCCCACCTCAATACATTTGGTCATAGAACCAGGTTCAGAAAGCTCATAATATTCTTAATTTGAGTGCTAGCATACGCGTTTAATAAAAAAAAAATACAATCTAGATGGGCCAGTACAAACCAGATTTTTATCTGATACAACTACATAGGAAAATGATTGCATAATATGCAGTAATCTAATGAGTCAGAATATTATCTTGACATTCAAATTTGTTCATATAATGGGGGGAAAAGCAACAATTTTCTACTCCCTAATTTTTTTATTCTAAAAGAGAAAAAACCACTGACAGAAAACACAGCCATCTGGTCCATATGTTGCCTAAAATTGTAGCTTCTGAAGTTAATATAGGTCCTAGGAAATATTAGAGTGATGAAATTATTTTATGTTGCCCTTCTTCAGAAACTAACTTCAGTACTCTCATTTATCATTACTAAAACTAGCAATTTCTGCAATCAATTCACTCGAATTTCTAAGACTAATAATCTCCATATGCCTATGATACGGGAAAAGTATGGGGTTTATGTGCGCCACATTTTGAGAGAGCAATCAACTCCCTTAGGTGAGCAATGGAAGAAAGACGGGTAATAAAAGTTTTGAAGTTCACAATCCACCCAAACAAAATTGGCAGTAGCAAGACGGGTAATAAAAGTTTTGAAGTTCACAATCCATCCAAACAAAATTGGCAGTAGCATATCTCTTACTGGAACAGAGTGCTGCATGCAAAAGCACTAACAACAAATACACTTGATCCAGCTAGTTTGTTTTTTGAGTACCAATAAATGTCAGTGCAGTGAATCCTGTTATCATAAAGACAGCAAAAGTAGATATAGTAATAAACATGATGCCCAATTTTATTTAAAGAAACAAAAAAAGTGTTGTGGACCATCTAAATGGCAGGGTGCAGTTAGGAGTTCAGTCTTATCATCTGCCCTAAAGAAATATTGGCATAAGAATGTTGGCTTGTTGGGTCATGGTAATGCCAGTGCCGGTTTGGTCTTTAACCAAGGATATCTTGGCTGTAACCTGCCTACATTTATTTATTTATTTTAGGTTCACATAGATATCAGAAGGAAACAGGAAAAGAAAAAAGAAGGTCCACAATCATCGACTCACAGGGCATTTCATTATTACATAATCTTCTTCATAACCCAGACACGGCACACCACCAAGAATGTCAGGCCTATTGCACGTAATCCATGCAGCCAAACAACATAATTAACAAGGTTGCCATTCTGCAGGCAGCATTGTCTCGCATAGCTAACTATGAAATAGTTTTAGGACAATGCTAGACTACAAAATTACTACCTCAAGCTCGATGTCATCCATCCTCAAGCATCATTTCGTTGCAATGTTCCATATTGGGCAATAAAAAGTACAAATATGTCAACATCCGGCTCCCCATCAAAATGCGGGAAAAGTATGAAGTTTTTCACACATCATTATAACAAAAAGATATAAGTCCAGAAACAAAAATCTTCAGGAAATTCCATATGTGATAGAAATGAACGTATGTTTATTGAAGGAAAATTCTGTGGCATATATTAATCAAGCCGATTCCTGGCAACCAATCATTTTTGACAAATCAGAGAACTTCCAACCAGAAAATACCAAAGGCCTGCCATAATAGCCGTTTAAAATATAATAATGTATAAACTTTTTTCTGAAATAAATGGGTAAGGGATCCACTAATCATGATGCAAATCACAATGCAAAGCATAAATTTACCCTGCAGTAGAGCCTGAACTTCGTGTAGTAAAGATTATCAGCCATAACTAATATAGCGTGCTGCCTCTTCATGGTGAACCACTGGAACAAACATTAGATTCATAAACTTGCAGGTGAGAAATATTAGAAAACTCTGCTACATAGTAACAGTAGTACTAATATAATGCTGCAATCAAATACATGCTGATTTTTAGAGGGCAATGAAATGCACATCTTAACCATACACTGCATCCCATGAATAAAAATTGAGATACGCAGAAAAACATCAGGAACAAAAGGTGAACAAGGATCAGACTGTCATTTCGTTTTGGTCAAAACAATGGAGAACTTGTGGGTTTTTTGTCAAAACTGAAACGAAAAAAATAAAAATTCCATCGTTTTGGAATGTTTCNATCAGGAACAAAAGGTGAACAAGGATCAGACTGTCATTTCGTTTTGGTCAAAACAATGGAGAACTTGTGAGTTTTTTGTCAAAACTGAAACGAAAAAAATAAAAATTCCATCGTTTTGGAATGTTTCATAATGCTTCGTTTGACCGAAACAATGTAATTTCCTGCCTCATAGCACTTTATTTGTAGTATAGATCCTTAAACTCATGTTAATTTGTTTGTTTCAAAGAAATGAATTGATTGACATTATTTGAATTCAGCTCCACATTGGCGTTTACTTTTGTTCTCCAAATTGGAATCTTCTAGTGTAGATGGGGTTAGGGCTGGTAGGCAAGCAACATGCTCAATTAATCAATTGTTAAGCATATCTGCATAAATAAAGTGAGTTTAATCAAAGTTCCAACTGTTTACACGAGTTCCCAATTTCTTCTCTCTCTTCATTCTGTTTTGAAACATTTCTGTTTCCAAGCTGACCCAAAGAATGCACCTAAACGAAATTTTGGTCCTCACTAAATATCAAAACATACACAAACTCAACTTAGCCACGATCATATCCCAAAGAGCCAGATTTTGCAGGAGAATTATTGTTCACCATATGCTCACTCAATAACCATTTCTCCTGTTAAATACCATGACATGGTTTATCATCATTTTCTAGAATACAAGCTAACAGAATGGAATTCAGTCATCATAAATAGCTTTATAAAACTGAATGCATGCATTTGAAGGATGCTTTGGGTTGTGCTATTGTTTTGAAGGCTGAATTTTGTATCTTAAACAAATGTGGGAGCAAATAAGCCTGGAATTGGGTTTGGAGGGTTAGACACCCTTTCATTGTCTTCCATTTATGCAAAAAATGTACATTTTAGATAATTGCAAAATCTAAGTCCACAATCCGAAATACTGACCCTACTAATGACCATAAGGGCTCCCTGAAAAAGCTAATATGACCAGAAAAAGGATGTTACATCGTAATGACTTAAAATATGTATGCATGTAAAACATAGAGAAATATCATAGAGCTTACATAAAAGGACTGTTTATGAAGATTAGTAGATTACCAGAACGGATGAAAAAAGCTAAGGGGATCACTTGCAATAGGTTCGAATGTAAAGTTACAAAACAGTTACGGGAAGAGTAACACAAACACGGGCCTCAAGCATATGCCTATATCCTTTTCACTTTTGTATTTTCCTATGAAAAGAGTGAGAAGAGCCAAGAGCTTTCCCGTTTCCAGTTGTGTTGATAAATGAAGCATATGGTTCAAATTCAATTAGATGTGGCAAGATTCAAGCGCGAAAAGTCATTCATTAAGGTAAACTACAGAGCCAACCAAGAAATATAGAATTTGTGATAGCATATTCCCGAGCTCTGAAATGACTTGCTATGAAGGTTGAACGATCATAATATACACTCAGTTCTCAATCACCTTGTTGTCATTTTTGTTGTCTTCATAACAAGCACCTGCAAAATGTAGTTTGCTGGCATATCTCAACACATCCATCTATCAGATGCAATACAACACTTGCAACCACCATAAGGATGCCACAACTCTGTCTGTCTGTGTGTTTGTGTGTGTGTGCATATATTTAACTCAAATCAACCAAGTCTTGTCCCAATATTTTTGGGGTTGGCTTCTGTCTGTGTGTGTGTGTACCCCCGCTCCCATCGGCATATATTCCCTGTTTCATCATTGAGTTCTATTAAGAATCATGTTTTCTGTTAAATCATAAATTATCATATCTTTCTTTATTATTTCATTTAAAGTCAATTTTCGTCTTACTCTACCCTGACGTTTGCCATCAATAACTATTATATCACTCTTTGTCACTGGTGCCATTGCAGGCTGTCTACAAATTCTCATTGCAATCTTGCTATACACAGAATGTATATGTTAACCATAAAAATCCTGTCCATGAATAGAAGATTGTTACGAACAGGAACAAGGAAAACAACTGTATAGAATACATGTAATATATAAAGTATGTGTATAGAGGTACATATGAACGTATGCAAGGATATACATATATATTAAGTGAACAAAAATCGATACATCTGCTGATTCATAATCATTTTTATCATTGATGAATTCTTCAAATATGCTTTCTAGTAAAAAAGAAAAATACCATAAATCTTAAACTGCTAACTTCTAACTTAGTGTGAGACAACCCAAGTTATATTATGTGGGAATGAACTTAGGTCTATATTCAGTACAATTATTCGATGAAGTTTCTTGTAATCATACCGTACTAGTATGCTGAAGTGCTACTTCCTAATGCACAACTTTTTTCAAAAGCATGTTCAAAAGTGTCTGACCATGGTTGCTTAAAAGGAGCGTGAAGCAGGAAACAGCAAGGAAAATGGAGACATGAAATGTAGTTCAAAAGTACTTATAGAAAAGAGGTGCAATATGTAATTGAAGTAGAAGCTTAAGGTGGTCATACAAAGATTCCAAAAAAACATTCAAGCAGTTCTCCATGAAAGTTATTGGTGTTTCATTGCGGCTTCGAAACAGGATTCCCCATGAAGACAAATGTCCAATAAAACAAGTACGAATGTTATAAGTAACAAACAAATTTTCAAGACTTAAAATGTTTATTTCTGTTATGGTAATAAGTCTAGAAGCATCACAACCCACCCCTTCCAGGAGCTTGTAGCAAATCAATATTCATCCAAGCACCCACAGTTAATGGGCACCAAACTTAAAAATAGATTATTACAAATAACCAATCCAGTTACAACTCCATTGTACGTATTTGTGGTTCTTAGGATAAAATCAATATAAGCAAATGAATATGGATATATTGAGGACCACACCTCGTCATATCATTGGCTCCAAGATATCTGATACCTTCCACTCAAAGATCAGCATGATGGTTAACCAGCTACCATACATAAAGTAATATAGTTCTAACTCCTAAAATGTCACAGAATTTTCAACAGGCTACAACTTAAAATCACAACCACATAATGTAAAGGGTACAAAAGTAACGAGATGTAGTAGTCCCACATTAGCTGTAAGAAAAACAAGATGACACTATGCATTTGAAAACCGGAAGTCAATCTCATACTTTCAGTGAATTCCATACGTTAGGATGTACACAATTGCATGGAGAGTCAACTGTGTAATGAGATGGGAAACTTTTTTTGCCCAGATCATTTCTCCATGCGAGCCCCACACCAAATACGGGTTGAACAAGCACAAGGGAATGTACTTTCGCAGGTTGGGTTTGTGAAATTGGTCCTCCAACCTAAACCCACCCCTGTCATTCCTAACCGGCAACAGTTGTGATGAATCATCAAGAAACCTGGTTTCATAGTGACATAGTGATTTTGAAGTGTTCGTTCCGTACTTCCATATATAAATGAATAAGCCACTAAATTTTGTGCGAACTACACTTGCAAGATTTGCTATTTCTTTGAATAAGTATGTAGGCTTGGAAGAATATACCTGTGAACCTTTCTTGAAGTCCTTCCTTTCAACTTCAGGCAACATATGCTCCGAATACCTGCCACCTCCATGCGGACCTGGATCCTCAAAACTATAGATAGAGGGAGAGAGAATCAGAATAGGGATGAATTAAACTGTATCTCCTCATTCAGTAATTATATAACAGCTTGTCAACTGTCAAGCACTGGCTGCTAGCTAGAGGGGCATCTCCTACTACAAGTGGGAAAGTGCAAAAGTGCAGGGTTCATGGCATTTTTGCTTTACTCAAATGTAACGTAAAAGCAAGGATATCCAAAACGAGTTACTGATTGATTATCGAAATTCCTATTTGTTTCGAGGTATTTTGGAATGTTTCAAGGTGTTTCAGTAAGTTTCCAATATTGTTATGGAGTGTTTCCGAGACAAATTTTGAATATTTTCTTCATTTGCATTTTGTTTCCGAAAGATGTTCACCGAAACACAATTTTGATCCTTACTTGAAAGTAAAAATAGGAATGGAAACTTATTCAACTATAAACCAAAAGAAGGTCCTTTCAAAGGGTCACACATCTTACCAGTCAAGGAAACTAACATTCGTAAACAATAGGTAGTTGTACACATAGTCAAAATTATGCAATGGTACACAACTGCAAAAAAAATGAAAAGAATTAGTCAAGAGCTCATCATGCCAGTGCCATACGCAGCTCATAGACCAGAGATATAAAACAAGTCAAACAACCAAATTACCTATCAGATAGCAAGACAAATTGCTGATTATCTGGGTCCTTTAGTGCATTTGCCAAAAGTCTCCTCTCTGCATCTACCATGGAAATTTTTCCCCAAACAACCTACCATATTGGTCATAAAATCAATTTAAATAACTTATGTCATTTTTCTTTTCTTTTCTTTTTTTTTTCTCCTTGACAAAAAGGTTAGTTTTTGAATATCATCAATAGAATGCCACTCATGACCTTTCAGCAGTCTAAATGTGACAAGAAATATTAAAACTAGAGATGGAGTACTTCTCAAAATTCAATTGTAGTTTTATCTCCCCATTTTGTGGGTGCTGTTAATGTATCATCCATATGGAATGCTTCTCCCGATGACCTTTACATTGATCAAAATCCATGCCATCATTGTGTGTGAGTGTGTGTGTGTGTGNTTGTAGTTTTATCTCCCCATTTTGTGGGTGCTGTTAATGTATCATCCATATGGAATGCTTCTCCCAATGACCTTTACATTGATCAAAATCCATGCCATCATTGTGTGTGTGTGTGTGTGTGTGTGAGAGAGAGAGAGAGAGACCACCATCAGTGAAAATAGGCACTTCCTATCTACTTAATATGCCACGAAAAACAGAAATAGAGAAGGAAGCAGGCATATGCATTTTTAAAGCAATCTTGTTCGATGATTATATTACAAATAAGGATACAAATGTGTAACTTACTTTTACATAATAGGTGTAAGACCTGAACAGGATGATTTATTGATGGGTGAAATGACGAAAAGAAGACAATTGAACAGAAGCGACTCTTGATTTCATTAAAAACCAGCAAACATTTACCTTAATTAGAAATTGCAGATGCCGAGCATACTACTTGTAAGAATACCAAGTGCTCCAAAAGTTATGCTACAAGAAAATAGGCCAACAATATATTCCAGCTCCCAACACCCACCCTCATGTGTGGCTCCACTCATGAGTCACACACAACATACATCCAAGTCTCGATAGGGGATAGATATGAACCTTGTAGACCGCTGGGCACAAATACAATGGGGCACCATACGATGGCAAAGAGACTTGAACCCAAGACCCTGAAGAACTAAAGCTTTGATGCCATGTTTGGCCACCTATAATTTTAAAAGGTCAAACTATTGGAGTACAGACCCACATAGCTTTTCAAGCTCCCAACACTAACCAATCCAAGCTCCCCAACATCAGCGATTTCCATCAGTTTTGGAAGTGGGGTAGTTGACTTTTTGAACTTTCTGAAGATAATTCGGAAGTGTAGTAGATGACTTATTGAACTTCCTCACACTTATAAAAAAAAATATGGAACAAAAGATCAAGAGCAGTTTATAAAAAAGAGTTACTTACATAATGCTTCTCACTAAATTGGTATGGTATGAGTAAATGGCTTGATGGTAAGCTAACAGATAGGAAATATTCAATAGTTGCCAAACAAAACAGAGGTCATGTTCTTCGAAAATAGTGAATTGTACATGGTTATTGGACAAAACATAAATAGAAATTGTCTGGTCTTGCTGATAGTGCTACTATAGACAGCAATTAGACTCTACTTACTCAGGAATGTCCTCATTTTTTTTCCCAACAAGGAAACATTTTTCATAGGAAAACCTTGAGCTAACTAGCGTCAAAGATAGAAGCATCAACACAACTTAGAAAGTTATATCTATGCTATACGTTTGCTATATTTGAAGTTTGAGGAGGAAGATGAAGAAGAAGAATTAAAAGGAGGAAGAGGACAAACAAGGAGACTGGAGATAGGACACCCAGATATTGATGCACTGGAAATATGGAATAGTTTATCAATAATCAATGTATTTTGGCCATTCTATAAAGCACTATATGCGCTTCAAGAAGTTCTCTACTAACACCAAACCTTTAAGCCTCCTGGTATTACGTGCCTGTTCTACTGATTCACAGTAGTTCCACATTCAGTCCCAGTGAACACACATGCTGATGTAAAGATCCACTGAATTAACAATCACCAACAGATTAAAATGAAGGTTTTTTAAAATTTCAGCTAAGGTTGTGCATCGGACATGGACAGTGGATTTCACTCATTAAATTTGGTTTGGCTAAGGTAGAGACATGCCCTATGGTCTGATGTTATTTCAGGTGAACAGGAATGCCAGACAACATGAGCCTCAAGTTAAGGAAATACATGTAGGTTATGTTTGACAAAAATATACAGTTAATTTTACTTTCAAGGTATCATATCACATTTTTTTTCATGCAACGTGAGTGCATTTTGATTTAAAAGGCTTAAACAGGTGAGAGTTAATCTTATAAGACAGATTCCAAAAACCTATTGACACAGACGTTTAAAACATTTATCATGGCATGCATTTTGATACAAGAACATCAATGAAACAACAAATGGGCCACTAATTAAGTAATCCTCTCAAATTTTTTATAAAATAACGACAGTGTAAGCATTCAGGGATTGTAAAAAAAGAAAGTCAGCATTTTTACATAGAAAACGTATTGCACCAAATATAAAAAAAAAAAAAGCATGAAATACATAAATGAAACTATTAGCTTTATCATACCATGCATTATAAACTGTGTATTTTGAAAGGAAAATTTACCTTGTCACTGTGTATTTCGCGGCCAGCAAAATAACGACTCGCATGCACTGGCTTGGCCCTAGATGCATGCACATAGACAGAGAATCTATCCTCATGACCCTGCAAGAAATTTTAAGTATCAGGTCATTTTTCAACAAGTAATCATGCATTGCTTAGTATCTTACCTTTGACACAACTAGCCCCAAGCATGGAGAAAATGAGAGTTGGATGTGGTAAATGACAGACAAAGTAAAGCTTCAGTCAGACCCCTTAACAATAATCTTAGAAATATTGAAGTTAAATTCTAGTGTCTTTGACAAAGGATATGGCCCTATACGAAGTAGAATGACAAAACCACATTCGTATATCTAACCACATCGTTAGGATAAGGATTTACTAAGTTAAGTGGAGCTGGATTAGGAAAGAAATACCTAGCCAAGTAAAAAATAGAAGGAAAGAAACAGTTTCCATGAGAAATATGATGACAAAGGAAAAATGACACTGGTCATTTCGACCATAAAGTCAAAGTGTCAACACATTTAAAACCAAAAAATTTCACAGAAATAACAATTGCATTGCCGCAGCTGCAGCCATCTTTCATATCTGTGGCAATCTGTAGACTCTATATCGCGATTACATTCATAGGAGGTCATGGCCCAGAGCAGATATGATTTTTCTTGCCTTATCATCTCTACATCACGAGTATCAATTTATACTACTGTGACACCACTGACATCATAACCCATTGAACCCACCAAGAAATTTTCCATCAAACCACTCCTCTGCCAAGTGCTAGTACAATTCAACTGCACTGCATCTATATAGTGGTCCTTAAGTTCACCTACAACCACGGTTAACACAAGAAGACAACTTTAACTTCGGCCTAGTTAATTACCCATAGGAAAATACACCTAATTTGCCATTTCTGCTAGGGAAAAAGGTGATGTGGGATGGAACCTTAATCAAAGAAACTAAGGGTGCCAAACAAATAAGCAACATCCTTCTAGGGCTTTGATTTGGGGTTTTCGATCAAGGTATNGAAAATACACCTAATTTGCCATTTCTGCTAGGGAAAAAGGTGATGTGGGATGGAACCTTAATCAAAGAAACTAAGGGTGTCAAACAAATAAGCAACATCCTTCTAGGGCTTTGATTTGGGGTTTTCGATCAAGGTATATGGAGTAAGGTCACATCGTACATAATTTAACAGTATTTTGGTGGAAAATAAAGAAAAAGGATTGGTAAAATTTCTAAAAAATAAACNATATGGAGTAAGGTCACATCGTGCATAATTTAACAGTATTTTGGTGGAAAATAAAGAAAAAGGATTGGTAAAATTTCTAAAAAATAAACAAAAAGGAAAGGTATAAATTTCAATAGTAGAGGAAAGGGTTTTGGATGTGTGATTATAAAATAATTGAAGTCCATCCGGAGAACATACCAATGCTAGAAAAAAATTAAACGAGGAAGAATATGACCCTTGTAATCTAAGGTCTTCTAATGGCCTTATTCAGAAGAGATTAATGAGTTCTCACTACTACAATAAAGTGCAGATTTTCAGAGAATTCCTATTGATCAAATATCTTGAACTTACATTGTTATAAACAGAGCTTAGAGAAGACATAACTTTCTGAAAATAGAATTATTAATATACTTCTTAACTGGAATATACCCGACTACCCAAACTAAAGGAAAATCTTTCTCTTAGTGTACTGAAGCAAAACTCAAGTGAAGAAATCAAACCCCAGTTAAAACAATCCTTATCATGTCACGACTACAGTTGGAGGACCTCAAAATACAAGATCCATCAACAGGAAATAGACCAACTTAAGACTCTTCATATAAGATCAACAGGGTCAATGCAGTATTGGGGAAAGGTTGCTGTGGATGGCATTGCTTGAGTTTTTTGGGACAAATAAAGAAGTTGTTGGGTTTGTTGGATTATCAGCCACATCATGTTTTCAGGGAATCAAATATGATGGCAGACTGCTTAGCAAATAAAGCAGTGCTGGACAGAGGCTCCTCTGATCTGTCTGATTCTGATAGGCTGCCTTCTGCAGTAAGGGTGTTGCTGTTGCAGGATCAAAGAGGGTTCCCAGTGCTGCGTACTTGGAGGAGATTATTATGTGTTTACAGAGAAGATCCAGATCCTATTTAGAGCAGGAAAGGCCATTTTTTGACTGATGCAAGATGCTGCTGCACAGTCTGTCTTTAAATAGATTTTTTGTTGAAAACTCTTTGTCTTGAAAGACTAAAGCCAAAACTGGCCTTGTTGTTAAGCTTTGCTCATTTTGTTTCTTGTAATTCTGGATTTTATCAATAAAATTTTTCCCTATTCTTTAAAAAAAAAAAATATATATATATATATATATAAGATCAACAGCAATGCAGCCAAAACTCATAATTCCAATGCCTGCTATTTCTCAATCATTGCACTATCCTATTCACTTACTGCCAACATGCCCTACTATAGGGATGCATTATTCTAGACCACGTTGAGAAAGGATGAAAACTTGAACCTGGGTTACATTTATATCGGGAAATAAATGATGCAATATGAGTGGGAAATAAATTATTAGCTGTCTGTTTGTACTTGTTTCGAATATGTAAGCAACCTTTCTCATGAAACCAATTTGCTAAGGGGCACTTTGACACTAAAGTCCATTAATTTTGTTAGTAGTTGATCTCTTATGGTTGCTTTTTCCCACTCATCCAACAGACGATGATACTATGATTTGGGAAAAACAAAAATCGTTCAAGATGTGCTATGTTCTCAAAGTTTGCATAACATAACAGCGATTAACAATAGAAATATGATATGTTTGATGCCTTCTATGAGTTTACACTTGCATGCAGAAACCTCCACCAAAGAAAGGCAAAATATTATGTGAAACTAAAATTTGAAAAGAAAATTGATGATTTAGAAGCAAAGACATACATGAAAGAACTTATCCCACAGCTTTTCAAACGGTAATGGACCTGGCGTCAAAAACATGAAAGCGATTTTTGGGTTTGTTGACTGAATAGGGGGTGCCTTCAAAATTTCCCTAATGACAACCTGAGCTGCAGCCTCTTCATCAGTTAGTTGCCTTGAAGGAACGGGTGGAAGCTGTTCATGCATGCTACAACCACTGGAAGAAAATATATAGCAGGATGCAGTGCTCCTTGGCGGGGAAACGTAGACTCCAATCAGAAAAATGCTCACCAAACAAACTAACACAATAATCCATCTTGGCTTCTTTAAATGTGATCGTTGGCGCAATCCAGACATTGTGAGAAATTATTTTATGCCCAGCCGCCATGCACGAGCTGGCTTCATTTAGAATGAAGGCATCACAGCAGCATCTCTAACCATCTTTCTCATTCTCGATAACCTTGCAGTGCTGTAGTCCAAACATCAAAATTTGACCGAATCTGCGACTATAGAACTATACACAGAAACGATACCAGAGTAAGAACATGTAACAAGTAAGCTAATCTATCAGACGCATAATAACAAACATGATGCATTTAGGATAAATGTTATATAATGTAAGTTTTAATATGTTCATTCAGGGAAAAAAAAAAAGGAAACCAAGACCCAAAAGAACTTCTCATCACCCGGGGAGGGGAGGAGGAGGGGGAGGGGGAGGGTGAATCACCAATAAATTGAATTGTCATGTAAATTCGAGTAATTAACATCGTTATAATCTAATCTGTGAAAGACAAAATTAATTTGACCCTTGTTTCAATTAAAGTCAAATATGTATTCAAAAGATAGTTAAACCTCCTAAAATCATATTTCAATGTAGCATAATACATTGTAGCAAAGGGAAACGAGGGATGATAATAATAATGATGCACTACTATTAGTTTCTTTTCTACCTTTCAATCCTTTGCAGCGGACCACTTATTATGTCTAACTTAGAAAATAAATTATTATTTATCTAATTTTATTGAAGAATTTTCATGTTCTTCAAAAATTCTTTCTTGACCTCAATCAAGCTCCTCAACTAATAGATGCTATAGCGGGGAGACCATATGCTAAACCTAGCCCCATCTCAATAAGTTGAGGGACTTTGGCTCCAAGCCCTAACTTGATCTTGTGGTAGATGGCCCTCGTAGGGGGCAGTTGACAACTAAATCCTTGGGCATGATACCCTATAATTTCTCAAGTCATTGATGCATTTTGTTAGAGTTCTTATTTTTCACGTTTTATATTTATATAAGATAATATTGTAATTACCAAAGATAAGGTTCAAAATAAATAAGAAAGTGTAGGACAACAATGCTCACACACAGATTATTCTCTTATTCTCTTCCTCTCTCTTTCTCTTTCTCTCTTCTTCTCCCTTTCTCCTAACATAATATTGTAGTCTTTACTTTTTAAAGGTAGATGCACAGCGATTCAAGGTTTTTTTTTTCCAACTATTAAATAGTGTCATGTGAACAGTATCCTGTGAATAGTCTAGCGTGAATAGTAATTTTGTGAACAGTGACAGATGAATAGCAACTCGACCGACAGTGATTCTATCCCATGCAAGTGTTTTTGATGCGTCAATCCCTACCGTAGAGGTGCAACTAGAGTATTGGAGGTTGTTAGTGAGCTGCCTACTTAGTTTTGGTGGATTTTTGCTGCTGTTTTTGGCTAAGAAGTAGTCGGTAGTGACCAAATTCACCTGGTTTGCTATTTGGACTTCAAGTTGGTTTAGATTTTTGACTCTTGAGTTTGTTGTGGGCAGCACATGTTGTGGGTAATCTGTTTGTGCTGTGGGTAATCTGTTACTAGGGTTTTTGAGCCATTTTTGCTTGATGTGTTNCCTGGTTTGCTATTTGGACTTCAAGTTGGTTTAGATTTTTGACTCTTGAGTTTGTTGTGGGCAGCACATGTTGTGGGTAATCTATTTGTGCTGTGGGTAATCTGTTACTAGGGTTTTTGAGCCATTTTTGCTTGATGTGTTTTTTGATGTGATCTTCTTTTGATTTTTTTTTCTTCGATTCTGTTATTTCAATCCAATATTATGGGGTGTGACTAAGGGGCCAATGTACACAGTTGAGTGATTCAGCACATTTGGGTTCATTTGTGAAGAAGTTTGGTAGTTTTGGTGAGTCGACAGTCTAGTTTCTGCTCACTGGTGACGCCTTTCTAGCTAATTCTGCATGCTGTTATTATTTTGTTGGATTTTTTTGGCTAACCTGTGGTGGTTTTGGTGAGTGGACAACCTTGTTTTGTGCACAAGTGATAAGATTTTGGGTGATTTTGGCTTGATTTTGTACCCTACTACTGTTTCGCTACTACCTATCAGTCTTGCTATAGATTCTTTTCACAAACTTCTTGTTTTACTTCTCCAATCTTCAAGGCTAAGTACAATAGTGATGGGTATTTAGCCTAAATTGTTAGGTTGTTGATTTACTTGATTAGCTCAGTTTGTACTTTGCAAGCTTGAAGATTTTGCATTGTGTTGTGCTGCTGCTCCCGTTGTGTTTTGTTCTCTTCCACTTCCTTTGGTTTGACCTACTTGTTAGTCTACTACTAGGTGTTTTATTGGCCTTGTAGTTTCTTACTGTAGCGTAGTTGTTTGTGTTTTTATTCCTTATGACGTCTTTGAATGGTGGTCGTGGTCATCGTTCTAGGTGGAAATATACTTATTGTGGTGGTACATGACACACTGAGAATTATTGTTGGAATAAGTATGAGAGACCAATATATACTCATCAGATTTCTAATAATACTTTTCGAGTACATTAGACTTCTACCAATGTTCCAATTGCTCCTACTACTAACTCTTATAATGATCTTTCATTTTAGTTTCGTCAACTCATCCAATAGATATCTTCACTTTTTACACACTTTTATGTTCTTCCTACTAGCCTTACTAATGGAGGTAACCCAGCATGTATGGTTGCTCAATCTTCTTTGCCATCTTGGATCATTGATTCAAGAGTTAGTGCTCATGTGTCGGATAATTTTTCACTATTTTCTAATTTTCATTTGTGTAACTTATGTATTGTGTTGGTTGATGGTTCTTATCGACCAATACATGGGACTAACAATCTCTGTCCTACTCAATCCATGCCCTTAATCTCTAGTTTGTTTGTTCCTAATTTTTCTTTTAACTTGTTATCTGTGAGTCAGTTAACTAAGTTCTTAATGTGTTCAGTGACATTTTCTAATTCTTGTGTTTTTCTCGACCCTCAAAACGAAGAAGGTGATTGGTGTAGGATATGAGCCCAATAGCCTTTACTACTTAGATCCTGGTGATTATGTTCCTTCCTTGATTGCTACTATATCTCCTCTTCAGTGACACTTTCAACGGGTTCATCCCTCTTTACAAAAGGCATCATCGTATCATTCAAGGAAGAAACAAAATCACTAGGATCTATGGCCCCTTTACAAAAGGTCATTGTCTCCTCCTCAATGGCACTTTCAACTGGGTCATCCCTCCTTAACAAAGGCATCATCGTAACTCTTTTCCTCCTAATTCTTTTGGTCGTCAACCCAGTCATTTTCATATTATTCATACAAAAATTTAGGATTCTACAAGAGTCAAAAGTATTTCTAGTTTTCAGTATTTTGTCATCTTTGTTGTTGATTTCTCTCATATGACTTGATTATTTTTTATGAAATATCGATCTAAATTGTCTAAGGTCTTTACCACCTTTTATAGTAAAATTATGGTTCAATTAAATATAAGTATAAAGGTTCTTCAGTTTGACACCTTTTATATTTTATATTTATATAAGGTAATATTGTAATTATCCAAGATAAGGTTCAATATAAATAAGAGAGTTTAGTACAACATTGTTCACATAGATTATTCTCTCATTCTCTCTTTCACTTTCTATCTTCTTGTCCCTTTCTCCTAACATAATATTGTAGTCTTTACTTTTTAACTCACTTCTTAGGAAAAACCTATAGCATGGCATGTACTCCCTTAAGAACAAACTATAAGCCAGAAATTGATATCCAAAATCTAACCCGACAAAGAATAATGTAAAATAAAACTGTCAATATCTAGAAGTAAAATAGAATATGTTATGTTAGAAAAAAGGTAGGATAATGACAAATAGACATTCAGTGACTACTGGTGCACATTGTCCATACCATTGAAGTTAGCTTTGAGGAGAAAGAAAAGGAAAACATCAGAAGTGCTGTAAGTGCTATCATTTCATAACTCATAGTAATTGAATGGGTCCTATTGCATCTTATAAGCATTTCAAAATAAAATTATATGACCTAAAAAAGGGCCATCACTAGGCTTGTCAATCGTATAGGGTCAGATGAGTTCGTGTCAATAGCAAGTTCGAATCAAAAAATACTCCTCCCATATCCGATTCATTTATTAATTTGTGTTTAAAGAATCGTATTACATCAGAATTTGTATTGTATATGAATTGTGTATAATCGGTATACAAACGATTTGTGTCATATATTTCTTTTGATTAACTTCACCCTTACCCAATTTATTTATTAATCTTATTGTGTCTGCTTAATTGACTCATAAGAAACGGGTGATTAAGAAAGGCTCAATCCCTCTAATTTTGTATTGTAGTTCTGTTGTGTTAACGGATCATATCATATTAGCCATCACCTAATATATTGACCAGATATAACAAGGGATTAAGATCCTCTCAAGTACTAGATTGCCTCAATTCTAAATCACCTGCTGTGAATCCAAGTAGTATCCATTCTATGAAACTATGAAAGAGGACCCACCAACAGCGGGATGATCTAGAATTGAGGAAATCGATTGAATCTAACACTGGAGACGTTCCTAATCCAATATAACAAAGTTACAAAAGCATCTATAATCACAAACACACAATGGTAAAACTTTCGTACCATTCTCACATCAAAAGAACATACCGTTATCAAACATTAACACCATAAATCAAAAAAGAACCCAAGAAAGCAATACTAAATCAATGGGTGAACAATATCACAGATCAATGAAAAAATTAAAAAATGAAATTACAAGATATCTACGAAGAAATGCAGCTTATAGATCTTACCGTGACTCAGAGATTGCAGCGTTGGAGATCCAAGACAAAGAAATCTCAAAACTCAGGTGCGTTCTAAAATAACGCTCTCCATTGGTTCGATCGACTCACGCGGATCATAGCAGAGGACAGAAGAAGAGA